TATATTTTTTTGCTTCAGAGTAGGGTAGTATTTTGGCCACTCGCTTGGTTTAGACTTTGTTTTCTTTATCTATGTATCTATCTATGTATCAATCTCTCTCTCTCTCTCTCTCTCTCTCTATATATATATATATATATATATATATATATATATATATATATATTATGAAATGGACAAAGTCTGACAATTATTTTAAGACATTTTTATGTTTATCCATTTTTTTTATAGATACAAATATTTAAGAAAATGCTTTGTTTATAATAAACAGTATTAAACAACATTTATCGGCCTGAAAGTCCGAGAAATTTCCATTCGGAGGACGAATATTTTCTATGAAAATGTTTATTATATATATATATATGTGTGTGTGTGTGTGTGTGTAGGATATGATGGTAACGATTGCTTGGCTCGATCTACTTTACAAAATCTGAGCAAATAACCAAATATTAGCATTTTCTTGCCAATCGCATCTGCAAGATGCTGATGACTTTACAACAGTCTCTTGAAGGTATGTGAGTCCAACCTCATGGGTATTTGATAGACATGCGACGTAGAAAGTTGAATCGGCTATTGTGAATTTAATGTTGACATTTATTCTGATAACAAAACATAAAAAGAAAAAACGCTTAACATTTAACCTCTAATATAGGATTTATATATAACTGAACAATTTCGAGATTTTGTCTCACAGATTAATTTTACGTTATTAACAGAAATATTCCAAACATCGTACGTCATCATAAAATTAACCATTAACCATTTCTTTCCTTGTTTTCACTTACAGAAAAAAAAGGGGTCTTAGTTGACGGAGAAATCTTCCAACGACTGGGTTTAAAAAATCCATGAAACTCCGAGTATAGATTCATTCACATAAATTAAGTGAACTATCAAGTTCGACAATAATTTAATATATTTTCTGATTATACCTTATTATTTTCGATATAATTTATTTAAGTAAATGTTTAATTAAAAACAGAGCATTTACTTAATATTATATATATATATATATATATATATATATATATATATATATAATATGCATCTATATTAATATATATATATATGCAATTTTGTATATGTTATTTATATATTATATATGCTTATTGGAAAGCGCTCAATATCAGTGAGAGCTAACATATTTAGTTGCGTTGATGTGAGTTTGTGACCCTGGGTTTCACGCACTTTGCGATTGTCTGACGATCGTAAAGGGCGTGAAACTCAGGGTCACAAACTAATATTAACGCAACTAAATATCTATCTATCTAGTTCTCTCTCTCTATATATATATAATAGCTGGCAACTCGTATTTGAGGATACCCTATTGCAGATGCTTGCTCAGGAATATTTGTGTTTATTTAACACCCACAGAGCCCAACTGTGGTTTATAGTGCAACTATGCTGAGCAGACCTTAATTAGTTTCTGGGAGAGAGCGTGTTATCTAGAAAGATCAACAATCTGAAAAACACTAGCACACTCAAACCCTCGTTCACGATGACTTGCGACTTCGTGCTAGCGCAGCTATCGACGGCTCCCAAGTGTTCCGTCTACCAAATTTCGCTCACAAGGCTGGGGTCAACTCGTGATATGTTTTTTCAAGCACTCCCAGCCCTTAGACTGATAATGTCTGGAAGTCTCATTCATGACAATCAACCGTGATGTGATTCGAATATATGAAGAAATACGATTTTAAGGTGTGCTATATTTATGGAATAAAGTGCTCAATATCAGAGATAGAGCATATGTGAATATAAATATAAAAGTGAACATTGAAGTAAACACTCAATAGTCAGGCCGCTGATTGTTCCCAGCTTCTGTCGCCAATCAGTACAGCAAGCCGTTTTTAAATTCCTAGCGGAGTGAATTGCATCATCGTTCTCAACTCACTCTATGCAGTCGACAAAAAAAAAAAAAAATGCAACACGCATGCGCGAAATTAAAATATGAGAATGCGACAATCTCCCCATTGCACCCTATATATATATATATATATATATAAAGAAAGAAAGAACAGTAAGATATATAATCCGGTGTTCTTATTGATATTTTTCATTTTTATTTTTACAAAACAGTGCTCAATGTAAATTTACAGAGCATAATCAGACATCGCTTTCAAAGTATTTCTGGCACTTAAAAGAATCAAATGAAACACCTACAGGAAAATGGAAATTAGTAAGAAAAGCTAGAATATGTAGGTCATTAAATGACCCATGTCCTTTGTGCATACATGAGAAACTGTATATTACTAAGTTTATAAAAAATAAAAATTTGCTGAATCAGAGAAATGAAAACTATTTTTTCCTTAAATAATATTTAAAAATAAAATTAAAAAGTGAGAGCTGTTAATATACATACTTTTATTTGATAAGAAAAAAAATAATGTAAGTAATTCTATTACATTTACTTGTTTTTAAAAAGAAATATACTCTATTTAGTAATTAAGAGTAAAAATATTTTAAAATTGTAGTTAAATAAATCGTATTCTAACATAAACAAACCAAAAAAGAATCTTTAAGTATACAAGTAAGAAAAAAATACCCAAAAACTTTTTGCTGTTAATAAAAAAAAAGACCAGACGACATGCATTTAACGGATGTCAGAATTCGTTGAAAAATACACCCCTACCATCCGTAAACGTAACTCACAATTGATACAACAATAATTAATAAAAATGAACGCGCTATCGCCCCAGTCTAAATGATTGGATTTCTCTGTATCCTTGGAAACAGTAAATTATGAATTTATATGTGCGTTTAAAACTCAGTAAATTTAAAAATAAGTTATTGCAATATTCGCTTGAAGATGAAACGGAACTAACGCTTTTAATTTAATTATATAATTAAATTTAAAATTTTTAGCTTCCATTTTTGAAACATGGTTATTACTGTGTAGCGAAAAAAACCATATTTTCAATCAGTCAATTTATAATATAGAATCAGTTCATCCCAAGCAAGGCGAAACGGCCACTAAGACGCAGGAGTCTATTAGAAATGAAAGAAATGGAAAAGACATTCGGAAACCCAATCATTAACAGAAAACACGGGATAAACCTTTACACCTGTTCAAAAGACCGGGGAGGAGTGTGAACTGGACGATTTTATAGAAATGTTCATTGGAAAATGTTATGATGCAATTTCTGACCTCAGGTGTCTTGTTGGGACCCGGAAATAAATGAGTATACAACATAAATCTAAAGAAATAATAATAATGATAATAATAATAATAATAAGAAGAAGATTTAGATTTTGTCACAAAGATTAGGGAACTGGAGCATGGTGAAGCTTATAAGTACCTAGGAATTAGCGAAGGAGATGGCATACAACACCTCCAAATGAAGGAAAAAATAAGAAAAGAGTACTACAGGCGTGTACGTCTGGTACTAAATACTGAGCTAAACTCAAAAAACAGAATATCAGCCATAAACACATTGGCTGTCCCTGTGGTGCAATACAGCTTTACTGTCCTTAACTGGACCATAGCTGAAATTAAGCGAATGGACGCCAAAACGAGAAAGCTTCTCACTTGCTATCGCACGCATCATCCCAAAGCTGATGTCGATCGTCTGTATGTGCTCAGATCCGAAGGAGGCAGAGGATTAGTTCAACTAGAACTGTCCTACAAAACTACAACAATTGGCCTCCAAAGATATTTGGAAACTACAGAAGACTGGATGATGGTATGCGTCAAGGAACATGAAAGTAGTAAGCGTCTTTACTCCGTAATGAAAGAAGCCAACAAATTCAAAACGGAGTTTCAAATGGGCGTAGAGATGCAACTACAGCACAATACACCGGCTAAAATTGCAAAATACCTAAAAAAGACAGCAAAGACGAATGTAACCGACCAGCTACAGAAGCGATGGCAAAGTAAACCGCTACATGGCCAATACTCTGCCCGTACCAAACAAGCTGATGTAGACAAAACCCGTACCCATCAGTGGCTACGTAGTGCAGGGTTGAAAGCGGAAACTGAAGGTTTTATCCTTGCTGCGCAGGACCAATGCTTGCTAACTAGGAATTATCAAGCACATATACTAAAATATTGTGTCAGTCCAAAATGCAGATTCTGTGATAAATATCCAGAAACGATTGATCATCTTGTATCAGGTTGTAGAGTGTTGGCACCCACTGAATATAAAACCCGACATGACAGTGTGGGCTAATATCTGCACTGGAAAATCTGCAACTTCTACGGGAAGGAAACTGAAAGAAACTGGTATGAATACCACCCAGACCCGGTTACGGAGATAGGACCTGTTACAATTCTATGGGACTACACAATACACACTGACAGAACAATCAAGGCCAACCGGCCAGATATTGTTATTAAAGACCACAAACAAAAACGATGCCTCCTTATTGATATGGCAGTCCCTGCTGACTGCAGTGTGTCTTTGAAGATATTCAAAAAGTTGTCAAAGTACAGGGACCTTGAAATGGAAATCTCGAAAATGTGGCATATGGGAGCATCAACTGTCCCTGTTGTAGTTGGAGCCCTGGGACTGGTTGGAAGGGATTGCAGTAGACTAATTGAAGGGATTCCTGGAGGTCCATGCCTCAAGGAGATACAAAAAATTGTTCTGACGGGTACAGCCCACGCCTTGCGAAGGGCTTTATCTATGTAATTTAATTCTTTTTTTTTTCTTTTTTTTTCTGTCAGTGGAAAGTGTCATGACGCCATTTCTAACCTTAGGTCCCTGGGCGGGACCCGGAAAGAAATAAAAATAATAATAATAATAATAATTTAATATTATTAGGCCAATAACCAAAATCGAACCGTTAATTTTTAACAGTTTTCATTATTCTATTTTGGCCTAATAATATACAACAACAATAATAATAATGATAATAATTATTATTACTATTATTATTGTTATTATAATTATTATATCTTTTTCAAATTTCTTTCATCAGCCTACTATACCTACACACACACACGCACGCGTGTGTGTGTTTATGAAAGCTTACAAATATCCATATATATGAAGGTACATATCTGAAAGCATATCTATCTATTTATCTATCTATCTGTTCATAACTATCTCAGTCTGTTCATATCTATCTATCTATCTATCTATCTATCTATCTTCTATGTATTTATCTTTCTCTCTCACTTTTCTTTCCTTCTATTGTTTTCCTTTCTATCTTCCGCCCCCCCATCTTTAACTCTTTTTCTTCATGTCCATTTCACTAAGTAGCTATAAGTCGAAAAGTAATCAATACACTATAAACGTGAAATAAAGGCGATCTACAATCAGTTTCCAAATTTCCATTACAAATCGATATTGACATATCCGACCCAAATAATGCGTGCGAGTGTCTGAAGGGGGGCGGAGGCGGAGAGTGCAGAATGGTGAGAGACTTTCTAACATATACGTTTCTCTGACTTGAAAAATACAAAGAGAAAAAAACAAACTTCCAGCCAAACTTTGTATAACACGCGAAACATCAGAGCTTCCACAATGTTCAATTTAGTAAATTTATTATATATATATATATATATATATATATATATATATATATATATATATATATATATATATAGTTATTTATTTATCTTTCACACTTTGAAAGTTTCATTGCTATATTAATCTTTAAAAATCTAAGGTTATTCTCCCGAAAGGAACTGGACAATATTTTATTACACGTAATCTAAACAAATGATTAAGAAACAGGAAAATTTCGTTAGAACCCCCCCCCAACCAAAAAAAAAAAAACCAGTCCTGAATTGCTATGCAATATTAATCCTCTCCTTTCGCACTGACTGATGGACATTTTCCTCAATGGTGTAGAGGTAACTTGAAGCAACAGAAATGTTGTTCTACAGAAGGATGCTGAGAATGCCATGGGCGAACATAATGTGGTAAAAAGAATTGGGCAATTTGGCACTCACGGGACATACTGAAGGCCAGAGAGACTGCTCCAGAAATTTTGTGACTTCTCCTGGAATACTTTGTTTTTACGAATTTCTGGGTTATGAGTTGCTTTCCACCCTACAACCTTTTTCTTCACAGTCGATACATTTAAAGTCTCGCTCCTCTATCGCTATTTCCATTGCAAAATAATATTATAAACCTAATGTCTTTAGTAACCATTTTTACCAGTGCTCATATTGCAATTTTTGCTGTTATCATTCCATGTTATTACCAGAACTCATATTGCAATTTTTGTTGTTGTTATCGCTTTTCTCTGGCACTCCTTATTACTGGTTTCCATATTGTATTCATTTCTATGCTTGGTCGGCTCAGGAGATTTTTGTGGCCTAGCATATGTGCTGATTCCTTAAGTTTACGAATTTTCCAATGGTGTTCTTTGTCTATGATCTCAACCTGATCCCACAGAGGGCTGTGATCTCCCTTTTCTCTCCATGTGTGGTCAGCCATGCCTGATTTTTCCACTTCCCCTCGTGTTACAGCTTTCTGGAGTTCATGAATCCTGACCTTAAGGGGGCGGCCTGTCTCCCTTTCTTTCCGCAGCCGTTGGAGTTATTTTTAACGGCAGAACAACGAAAAAAAAGTCCCGAAAAACATTTTGTCGTTGATAAAGGCCAGACGACAGACATGCATTGAACACATGTCATCATTCGTTGGAAAAGGCACTCCTACCCTACCTTAACTTAACCTCTTTTCGAAAGTAATTCATATTTTGATACAATAATTGTCAGTGAAAATGAATACCCTATCGCCCCTTGTTAAAATCATTGGATTTCCCCGTTTCCTTAGAAACTAATAATATGAATCTGTGTGCTTATAAAACTGTTTTTGAAACATGGTAATTCCTGTGTAGCGATGGAACCATATTTTTAAATTATAATATTTTATTTATAATATTTATGCTCTGTAGATTTGCATTGAGCACTGTTTTGTAAAAATAAAAATATTAAGAACACCAGATTATATATCTTACTGTTCTTTCTCTTTATTATAATATATATATATATATATATATATATATATATATATATACGTGTGTGTGTGTGTGTGTGTGTGTGTGCGTTTAGGCAGCAAATTGTCTTTTAGGCATGTCTGATTGAATAAATTACAAACATTATGCCTGCTTATTTTGATCATAATCCTTTCATATTCACGAATATTTTTTCGTATATTACAATTAAATAAGGCAAGAAATACACTGTAACAGGGAAAATCACTTTTATTTCCCAGCTACTTTCAATCTCTTTCTGTGATCATCATCAGGGGTGCAACTGGTAAGGCAAAAACTATGTGTAGCTATCCACTACTGAATTTTTATTTTGCGTTTAAATGCTTTTTTACCAAAAAAGAAAAATAATATCCATGTACGATGATGATAGGATGACCTATCGAAAGTATTAGCATATTCATGGAACATATAGAATATCTAAAAACAAGGATCATTCAACAAGTGGTTAGTGGTTTAATACTTTTTAAATTTGTTAGCGAAGTGAATTAGCCAGTTATTACATTAACCTTACTAATTTATTTTTTGCATGACTGCTTCATTGTAATATTAATTATACTGAAGCAATCGTGTATATATATATATATATATATATATATATATATATATATATATATATATATATATATATGTGTGTGTTCGTGCCTTTTTCATGGACTTTTTTTTATATTTGTTTGTGCCATGAAAATATTAACAAATATTATTTGGACTATACACACACACACACACACACGCGCGCGCGTGCGCATATCCATCTATCTATATCTATATATCTAGATAGATAGACAGATAGATAGATAGACGGAGAGAGCGAGACTAATCCAGATGGAATTTGAATTTGGTTTGCTGATTCCATTTTCCGTGCTTGATAAAATTTTCTATTCGATCTGGAATATGATGCACCCATTAACCCCACATAGTGTTCTCATGTTCCCGCGCAGTCAGATAATTTACCGTCAAAATCACATCCAGTAGAGAAAAATGAAGTTCTTTTCTCATAGATAGTCTTACACTGTGTGAATCATTCCGGCATTTTATTTTTAAAGTTCTCTTTTCTCGAGCACCTTCCTACACCCGGTTTCTTCTCTCGTAGACGCACAAAAGAAATTAGCATGACATGCTTGAATCTGACACACAAGAATTGATAATGCACCTGCAACTAGACGTCAATCACAGCAACTCGGAGATCGCCTGATTCTTGAAAGGTACTTAATGTTCAAAACCAAAAAGGAGCTGGAGGCCTTTCTAGTCTGTGATCGGGAAAAAGGTAAGCGTAATAGTAATATTAAATGTTTCCTTATAAGGAAACATTCATTATACATTGACCAGCAGCCAGTAGTACTTTCGGTTGAAATTTATAAACTCTTAACATTAAAAAGGTTTTTCAGAAAAAAAGTTTCTCAAGTCCACTAACTGTTATAGCTCTTTTCAGCAGTGATGGCGGATTCTTCCTAAATGTTCCTTCCCAATGTGGAACACCAATTATATCATTATTTTCTAATCGGTTTCAATGTGCTATCCTTTTTATTTGTTGCTGTTGAAAGGCTTCTAGTAATGTGGCTTGTTATTTAGTAAAGTTCTTTGTGATTGTGTAGCGCCAGTCCACAAGGTTCAAAGAACGATGGTACTCGCTAAAACGTACATGCTTTATTCGCTTGAAGCCACTTTAACTCATCGAGCTGAGAAGGTTTTTCTATACAGATGACAGCTTAGATATTTCTGAACGGGCTTTTAGTGCTATGTATCGAACCGACGAGGCCATTTAAGAACAGGGAGAAAGAAACATTTTAAACGGTCAGACGTCGTAAGGACGGTCGAGTCCGTTCAGTGAGTCCAGAACCCTGAAGGCGACGAGGGCCATCACCGGTTGGTAAAAGGTGGCGACATCAGTTATCAGACGTGTAACGCGCGCGAGAACATCAGCTACAAGTTCTACGTGATGAATAAACGACAGTTTATGTTCGACTAAACCTGGGAGAACGGTGAGATTCGATCGTAACCCATCTGAACAATCTCAACAGTCGAGAAGCCGGGGAAGTTCTAGTTCTTTTCTATGGCTAAAAGGTGAATAAGAGAAACGATGGATAGCTCTGCGCGTACCCCATGGTTCAAGTCGATTTTGATGGTCTTAATAGTCATAACGAACGAGGACTTTATTATGTCGTCAAACCTTTTGTAGGGACTCAGGACAATGTCATAATGAACAGTGAAGTGTTGGGCATAGTGTTTAAGCTCTATATTGAGGTGAGACCCACAGGAAATATTTTGTGTCCCAGCATGACTCTGACCCCTTCTCTCATAATCCACGTGGCAACCCCTAACACGTGGCTTCCTACCTCTCCTTAATTACCGTATTTGACAGTATATAATCTTTTAAAATTCTCCTGTGTCTTATATGCTATATGTCGGTTTAAAATTCCAGCCGAAATTATCTGCCTGACAATTCCTATTAGCTTAGACTTTAGAGTAACTTCTATATACCTATTGTCATTATTTAAAAGGCTATTAAGCAGATAAAAGTGTTATCATTGATAATATTCATTATATTAATTTCATCATGTTTAATATTAGTACTTTGTTTCACTAAAATTACATGCCATAAATTCAAATTATATATTTGTAAAATATATTTATTTCATGAATATTTTTCTTGTAATGACTTCCAGTTGCATTGGTATAAATGCAATCAGAATTTGTATATCCTAATTATTCTAATAAGACGTTTACAAGACGCACGTTGTACAGATCATATGAAGGATATAATAAAGTTTTTATAGGCTTGTGTTCTTTTCTATTATTTTTCGTTTATTTGTAATCACGGCTTGTTGAAACAAAATAATACCTCATAAATATAGCCTAGGCTGTACCATTTACTACTAATTTTACTAATTACTAATTTTTTCTTGATTTGCCCTGCTGAAATCGGGGTGCGTCTTATACACCCGTGCGTCTTATATGCCGTCAAATACGGTACATCCTTTGAACGTCTGGAGTGTTGTCAGGAGAGAGGTCAACCAACTATTTTATAATTCCAAGCGATCGCTGAAATGATGTGATGGCATTTGTGTTCGAACATTTTCAAATAAATATGGCACAATAACTTCCCTCATTTTGTCTGTTTGGAGGTTATTAGTTTCTCTTCGATGTATGAAGTCTAAGTTCCAACTCAGATAAAAAGTCGAATGTTGATTTTCAAGAACGGACGGCATACTCCCAAAATGTTCGTC